CAGTCAGGTCTCTGACAGCAGTGTCTCTGTCTTTCCAATGTCCGTGTCTCCATGCTGTCATGAGGGTGCTGCTGTGGCTACTTTGCTTTACTTAGGTGAATATTCTCTCCCTCCTCACTTTTTTCTTTTTTATAAATCTATATAAAAATCTGGTGTAATGCATGAAAATATGCTTAACATATCTTGCTATTATGTTAGATTTTTATTCATACATTTCTTTAGAGAAAAGACAGATGTATGAAGGCACAAACTTGTCTAACAGTTCCAGATGTTCAGTTTCTCTAATGGAAACCTACATAAGGGCAATGCCTTTATCATCTATGGATTATTTACCATAACGTTGCAGTGAGTACACAGCTGTACTACTGGCTTCGGAATCAAATTATATCACAACTTGTGTTCTGACCCTGACACTCCAAGCATTTTGCAGGCAACATTTCTAGACAGTTGTATTACGTTGACTTATCAGTAAAATGAATACAGATCATATCAGCTGCTTCTCAGGACTGTTTGGTTGAGTGATGTTTCAATCGTGGTGAAATCTGGATGGACGTGACTAAAAACGCACAAATTGTTAGTATGTTTTTACCATCAAATAAGCCCTTTACTTTAGAGTTAAGTCTTCAGCAGACTTTAAGGAAAGCAACATAGGAAATAAAAAGAAAATAGCCACAGATGAAATGGCAGAAAGTGCTCACTACCTCTTGGTTGAATTATGTGTTTGAGAAAAAATGATTTGGTTTAACAGATTTATCTACAACAGAAGAAAATCAAAACAAATTTAAACAGTCATGCAGAAAAAAAAATAGTAGTTCTGCCTTTAGCTGCTGCCTTGCCTTCCCTATGTGGGTAGTGGCACAATTTGGCACAATGCTTTAAGGAAGCAGAATGCTTTAGCCGCTAAATAATGCTCATTCTTCTGTTGCTAAAGACAACTTTTAGACAACTACTTCTCTGGTTGTTTACAGTTTTGCAGCTTCCAAAGTTTGAAAACAAAGACTTCTCTACTGGACTTAACTGAAAAAGCAGTGCTGCATTTTTTCTCATAACAGAGATTTTTTTTCTAGCAGACAGATCGTGTTGTTCAACCGAAAGCCAAGAAAAGAACTTAAAAACCTGCCCCAACATCTGCTATTTTTCTTGCATTTCCTTGTTTCCATTCATGAATCCACTTGCTTCCATAGAATAATAGAATGATAGAATTACTCAGGTTGGAAGGGACCTCAAGGATCATCAAATCCAACCGCAGCCTAACCACAGTACCCTACCTCTAACAACCCTCTGCTAAATCATGTCTCTGAGCACCACATCCAGACGGCTCTTCAACACATCCAGGGACAAACTAAGAGAAAAAAAGACTTTCTGCTGGCCTTGTATTTAGTACTATTGTACTAAATTCTGGTACTATTGTACTGCATTCTAGTAAACTATGTAAGATGTGAAAGTAACTCAGTAGTTCTTCATTGCTTTATTAATCTATTTTATACATTTGTGCTCAGTAATAACAGTAGCCACAATGTATGCTCTGTGTAGGCAACAAGAATTGGAAATGAGATGCTGCATAAAGTACCCAACATATGTGACTTCACGTGCATCAAAGATCCTTACTTTTGATTCTAAAACATAATTCCAGGGCAATAAAAAATTCTCAGTGGTCAGCATTTCAGAAGTCATTTGGAAAGAAACGTGATTGTCAGCCACAAGAATTGCCTCTAGCTGGCAAAAACTACAGGTCATATAGTAGGCGCGTTACATAAAGCATCATCAGTTGTAACTTAACAAAAGAAACAACACTTCCACTTTAGTCAAGACATGTGAACCCTGTCTTAAACATAAGACCCACAAGATCTGAAAATAAAATCCGATGTTTTGTCAAATAAAGTAAAATTAACATACCATTTATAATCTAATGCTTACTTTGCTATGTTATTTTCACTTTTTTTTTTTTTTAGTGGATATAGGTTAATCAAGCTTTTAGTGTCTAGATACAATGAGAAACTATTATTTGCATTAAAAGCTATATGATATATGACTTAAAAAGAGTGAAAATGATCTGAAACTTGATCAGTGAACTGCATTTTACTCTAATGCACAGAAAAGGATCAACTTGGCATTTTCTACTTGGTTCACTACTATTTCACCACAAACTGAAAAAAAAAAAGTAGTTGTTAGAACTTTAGTGGATTATACTCACAGGCAAACATAATTAATTTGGTGATCATAAAGAATTCAATTATAACCTTCAGGTATGCATGTGTGACTCTGTTTTTACCTGAATATAGATGTTAGACAAACTCAGCAGTTCTGCCTTAGTTTGCATTGGAGATATTCAAGACCCGCCTGGACGCCTACCTGTGCAGCTTGACTTAGGGAGCCTGCTTTGGCAGGGGGTTAGACTAGATGATCTCTAGGGGTCCCTTCCACCCTCTACAACTCTGACTCTTCTTCAAGCCAGCTAGCAGCATGGCAGGAGAGGTGCTGTCAAACGGCATTCAAGTAATAATATATTGCCAACAACATTTTTTGCTTAGTTAGAGCTTGCTTAGAGCCCTTTTCTGCAAACCACATGGCTAAATTCTCATGACCAGTGCAGCAAGATGAGCACAAGCTTAGCTGAGCATAGAACTCCCCTCATTTTAATTGTTTCAGTTTCTGTTTTGAGTGTCTCTATTAATGTACAGGAAACTGCCCACAGAGCACAGTTTTATATCTTCTATGTATAAGACATTGGTTGACATTTTAACCAACAGTATTTACAGTAACAACACTGCAAGATGAGATCAAGAGAAATTAATTTGGTACAGCATAAATCAGTTTGCTAATTTGAAGATGCATACACACGTATTATACTTCTGTGAAAGCCAAGTGTTCAGCATTTGCAATAGAAAAACACCCCTAAAGGGTTAGTCAGTAAGTAAGTAACTTTGGTGATTAAGGCTAAATTAATTGCTGTGATGCTAAGAAAGAAATTAAAACCCAGAAGAATAAAAAATGAATCCATGTCTACAATGCCAACAGAGAAAATGCTTGAAGACTAGTATTTGAGATTACTAGTGGAAAGAATTTTGTGTGGAATGCTTACATCTTGAGGAGCAGATAAATATTCTATCACAATGCACAGCACTGGTAAGCAATCTTTTATATTTATTGAATGGGAACATAACTACACATATATTTGTAAATTTTTATTTCTATTTTTATTTTTTTTTAAGTTTGACAACAGCAGCTCTTCAGAAAGAACACCAAGCAGGTAGCAGGGCTGTACAAGATGGAGAATTATAGAGGTAGAATTTGAACAAAGATGTTCAGTTTTATCTGCTGTGATAATGTCTATATATCATCCCTGATGCTATACTTTGCCTGAATATACCAAATGGTATAATCAGTGGTAATGTAACAGACCACAGCATTTACCCATAGCTAGTCACCGCAGTCAATAAAAATCACTGTATGGATCAGTTTACAAAGAGTTAACTCACAATGCTTGCCATTTTCCCTAACAAAATGCTTCTCCATCAATTCAACGTTGTGGGCTCTCAATCTTAACATGTAGTGTTTCACAAAATGACTTACTAATAGAAATCCATATCTTGCCAGTTCAATGAAGGATCAACAGAACTGTCATGGTTTTATCTCCAGATCTGTGTCCATGACAGGGGACCAGCCCAAAAGGGCAAAGAAAGGAAAGGAATGAAAGGAAAAAAGAAAAAAAAAAACAGCAGCAACTTACTTTACTAATTGTAGTAAAAAAATTCCAAGTCAATTGAGATCGAAGCTAATAAATATCAAGTAAAAGGGAGTGAGTTTCTGAAAACCCAAATTCTTACTCTCACTTGCAAGGGAGAAAAAAAAAAAAAAAAAAAAGTCTCTTGAGACTTCCAATCAGTTTTATCTTTCCCTCTTCCCTGAGAACAGAATGAAAAACCAAAGTCTTCTGGGAATCATGGTTCATTCTTCTCTTCCAAGACAGCAGCACTAACTCTTTATCTCCCAGTGCACCACATGATGTTATGATCATACTGATAACGAACCACAAAACCGTGACAGGTGTACAGCTTCCATCAATGTGACCATGCTACAATCTATTGGTATACAGATATACATAACAATAACATGTTTAACATGTTATCTCAACTTGCTGAGAAAAAGTGTTTGATATTCATTGTATTTCGTCAGTAGCACTGAATAGTAGACAGTTGAAAGCTGCTGAAGAATTTTACAGAAGCTATGGGAACATTTCAATGAATTCAGGTGTCAATACACTGATAAGTTTGGTTTCCAATAGACACACTCAAAATAGTAACAAACCTTTACTGTTGTCTCAGTGAGATCTGCTCCTCCTAACTCACAAAGTGCTGCCAATAAGCAATTTTCTAATACCCTGTATTTCCTCTACATCACACATCTATTAATTTAATGCAAGTGAATCATAATTCTGATATTGCAAATACTGATGTGCAAAACTATCAAAACTGAAACAATGAAGTACATACAGAACAGCTGTATGTGGAAAATCTGTGTGCAGTTACAGAACTATGACCTCTTTGGGATTACAGCAATGTGGTGAACAGCTTACACAGTTTGAGTGCTACAACAGATGGACATAGGCTCTTAGGAAGCACAGGATGGGGCAGCAAAGAGGAAATATCACACTCCACATGAGAGCAGATGAAGTTCTGGTAGCTACGTACTTTCAGGAACAGGTCAAGAGACTACAAACCCAAATAGCAGGCAGACTAACATATGTACACTTGTACTGCTACAGATTGTGTGACCAAGAAGCAACAGTGCCAAATTTAAAATTCCAGAGGTAAAGAAAACCCAGCAACTTACATAACCACCCCTCACAAAAAGTATGTTATCAGTACTTGAACATTAAACAGGTGTATTTTAATCATGTCATTTACAGATTAGACTGTTAAAATAGACAAGACTTCAGATTCGTATACTTTAAATAATTTATTAAAGCAAATAATTTTGTTGATAAAATGTGATTATCATTAGAAAAGATTGACAACAAGAATAGCTTTGTAGATATATATATATATATTTTTTACAGATTTTGCAGAATAAGATATTTGCATAGATTTCACAGTGCTTCTTTACTGTCTAAAACAGCTTAACTTCCTGAAGTACTTCAGTATTATTAGGAACGCTTTGGTTTGTACTGACTACAGTAGATAAAACAATACAAATAAAATAGACATTGTTTTTGACTTGAAGATTATCTATTCCAGTAAGTCATAAAATACAATTTTTTTTTTCAAACAAAATTAAATAATACAGCCTTACTCTTCTTGTTCTGAAAATCACAAGCATTGTTCAAAAGCTTTACAAAATCTCCATGACGGCCTGTCTTGCTAGTCAACTTCTATTTAGCTAGAAAAATTCTGAAATATATCTGCACCCTCAAGCCAGTTCCGAAAACAGGATAGCCCTTTGTCTCTGATCTGTTTCCTTCCTTTGTCAGTAATCACTTCTCCGGTTTGTTTCACAATCACCAGTTTAGGAATTGCTGTTATGTTGTATTTCTTCTTCAGATCGCTGAGAGAAAAAAAAGTTAAAGACATCATTAGGGACCATTCTAAGAAGACACCTAATTTCTTGTGAAAGGTATGCTGGTAACTACACATGGCAGAGCAGAAGCAATGACTGTCCAGACTCTTCAGAGTTTGAGGCATAGCACTGGGTAGTGTGGAGAGATGGAAAAGGCCCAACCAGAACCGAACATTTACCTGGTGAAACTTAGCTAAGGGAGCTAGGAGAGATGAAGCAACCTTCCCATCACTGCTCTTCACCACTGTCCATAGCCTCCAGAGAAGTTGAAACTGAATCTTATGGACTATAAAGAGGTCAATTACAGTGTGACATATCCTTCCATCCCATTTTTATTAGCCAGAACCAGTTGTCTTTTTTTGCTGGCTAGGAGGAAATACTTTACTTAACTTAGCATTAGCTATTTACTCTAGTATAAAGATGTTGTAATAAATCAAATCTGTAAAGAAGCATAATACTTTAAGCAGAAAAAAAAAAAAAAAGCAACAGAAAAACACATTAAATTCCTTCAAAGACACAAGTTGAACTCTCAACAGAAGAAAAACTGGCAAGAGAGGCCACATATCACCAACAGTGATCATTTCTTGAAATCAGGATATGGAAAAATCTGGACAGATTACAAATAACTATCTTCCCATCAACTGTTTTCTAACAAAACAGTTAAACTGCAAGTGAAAAAATTAAAAAGCCATACAGCAGCAAAGCTTCGTATTGATAGAGCAGGTAACTCAAGAAAAACTAGAGACGACTTTTGAAGGACAGAAAGACACAATCACAGAATTGTAGGGGCTGGAAAGGACCTCCAGAAATCATCTAGTCCAATCCCCCTGCCAAAGCAGGCTTCCTAGACCAGGCTCACAGACAGACATCCAGGTGAGTCTTGAACATCTCCAGAACAGACTCCACAGCCTCTCTGGGCAGCCTGTTCCAGTGCTCCATCACCTTTACTGTGAAGAAGTTCTTACACACATTTGTGCAGAACTTCCTATGCTCCAGTTTGTGGCCAATTCCCCTTGTTCTATCACTGCACACCACTGAAAAGAGTATGGCCTCACGCCTTGGCCTCCCAGAACCTAGATATTTATAGACACTGATCAGACCCCCCTCCGTCTTCTTTTCTCATGGCTAAACTGACCCAGGTCACTCAGTCTTTCCACATGAGAGGTACTCCAGGCCCTTTATCATCTTTGTGGACTTCTGCTGGACTCTTTCTAGGACATTCCTGTCTTTCTTGTACCGAGGAGACCAGAACTGGACACAGTACTCCAAGTGAGGCTTCACCAGAGCAGAATAGAGAGGGAGAATCACCTCCCTTCACCTGCTGGCCATGCCTTTTTTTTTTTTTTTTTTAAAATGCAGAGCAGGAAGCCATTGACCTTCTTGGCCACAAGGGCACACTGCTGGCTCATGGCCAACCTCTCATCCACCAGGACACCCAGGTCCCTCTCTGCAGAGCTCCTCTCCAGCACATCATCCTCCAACCTGTACAGGAACATGCTGTTATTCCTTTACACTTGCTTTTGTTAAACCTCATCTGGGTCCTCCCTGCCCAGCTTTCCAACCTGTGCATGTCTCGCTGAATGGCAGCACAGCATTCTAGTGTGTCAGCCATTCCTCCCAGCTTCGTTTCACAGCATCCCCTCATCAAGGTTACTGATTAAGACGCTGAACAAGACTGGACCCAGAAACAACCCCTGGGGAACACTGCTAGATACAGGCCTCCAACTGGACTCTGCACCACCAATCACAATCCTCTGAGCTTGGCCAGTCAGCCAGTTCTCAACTCATCTCACTGTCCACTCATTTCTCCCACAATTCCTCAGCTTCATTATAAGGATGTTGTGGGAGACGTTATCAAATGCCTTGCTGAAATCCAGGTAGACTACATCCACTGCTCTCTCCCCATCCACCCAGCTGGTGATGACACTGTAGAAGACAGGTTGGTCAAGCAGGACCTCCCTCTCGTGAGCTCATGCTGACTACTCCTGATATCCTCCTTCTCCTCCAATTGCTTTGAGCTGATGTCCTGAACAAGCTATACCATCATGTTTCCATGGACAGAGGTGAGGCTGAGTGGCCTTTAGTTTCCTGGATCCTCCTTCTTGCACTTTTTGAAGACTGAAGTGAGATTGGATATCCTCCAGTCTTCAGGCACCTCTCCCATTCTCCAAGACGGTTCAGCAGTCACCTCTGTCAGCTCCTTCAGCCCATGTGGATGCAACCCATTGGTGCCCAGGAATTTACGTACATTGATGTTGCCTAGACACTCTCAGACCATCTTCTCCCTCACCTTCCATTCCCAAGACTCTCTAACTTACATCCAGGGTCCAAGATTCCCATGGGGGAGTCTTTTCAGTGAAGACAGAAGCAAAGAATGCATTCAGTACCTCCACCTTCTTGGCATCCCATTACCAGAACAGCCACATTTCCCCCCAGTCTTCCTTTTACTGGGGACATACATTAAAAAGCCTTTCTTATTATCCTTTCTTTCCTTTGCCAGATTCAAATCCAGGTGGGCTTTAGCCTTCCTCACCACATCCCCAAAGGCCCTGACAACATTCCTATATTCTTCTCAAGTGGTCAGACCCTTTTTCCACATTTCATGTACCTTCTTCCCTTTGAGTTCATACATGAGCTCCTTGCTCATCCATACAGGTGTCCTGCCACCTTTCCCTGATTTCTTACTTGTACAGATGCACTGATCCTGATCTTGGAAAAAGTGCTGTTTAAATGCTGATCAGCTCTCACAGGCCCCCTTACACTCTAACCCTAGCCCACAGGATAGCTCCAAGTAGGTCCTGAAAGAGATCAAAATTGGCTCTCCTAGAATCCAGGGTAGCAATCCTACTTTTTGTTTTGCTTCTTCCATTCAAGATGCTGAACTCCACCATCTCTCGATCACTACATACAAGGTGCCCCTGACTTTCCCTAACAAGCCTATCCTTATTAGTAAAAACAAAGTCCAGTAACGCCCCCACCTGCATCAGAAAGTTATCTTCAACATAATGCAGGAACTGTCTGAACCACACATGCCTAGCCATGTTGCTTATCCAACAAATATCTGGATAACTGAGGTCCCCCATAAGAACTAGTGCCTGGGATCATGCTACTTCCAGCTGCTTGTAGAAGGCCTCATTCACTTCCTTTTCCTGATCAGGGGGCCTATAATACTCACCCACAACAGTGTCACACATACTAGCCTGCCCCTTAATTCTCACCCACAAGCTCTCCACTGCTACACAACCCACCCCCAGGTGGAGTTCAATACATTCTAGCTGCTCTCTCACATAAAGAGTAACTCCACCACTCTGCCTAGCCAGCCTCTTTCCTAAAAAGCATGTAGCTATCTATGACACCATTTCACAGTCATGTGAGCTGTCCTACCACATCTCTGTGATTGCAATGATATCATGGACTTGCAACCATACAGAGATCTCTAACTCCTCCTGTTTATTTCTCACACTGTGTGCATTACTATACAGAAACATTAGGGAAGCAGCAGGTCCAAGTATCCCTAAAGGGATGCAAGAAAATTTCAGGTGAGGAATTTGCAACATATTCCTCTGAGGAGATCTCATAAGATCCTAAAGGACAATCCAGAAATTTTCCCCTGCAATATGCTAGAACATCATCTCCTAGCCCTTCTCTGTCCCACTGACTTCCGCCCTCTCCCCCCATAAATCTAGTTGAAATCTTTGAACTACTTGCTCAACCCCAGTGAGCATCATTTTACCCTCTTCCTCCTTCTTACTTAGTTTAACACTCTTACACCTCCTGGACTAGGATCCCCTTTCCCCCTGAAGACACATGAGACCAATCCACAGCCATCAGGACAAGTGCAAAGTAAACTACTCCATGAGCAAAGAACTCAAAGCTTCTGACATAGCACCAGCCTTTCAGTCACTTATTCTAAGTTTTCCTACCCCACTCTTTATCCCTCACCACATCCCAGAAGGGAGAGAAGAAAATACTACTTGCACTCCCTCAACAAATGGCCCTAATGTCTTCTGATAACTCGCAAGCTTCCCTGAGTGACTTCATCACTGCCTGCCTGAACTATCAACAACTATCTGCTTTACAGAAAATGACTGTCCTGCACTGCTTTTCAAAGTGGGCAGAAACCGAGCACCAGAAAAACCAGACGATGGCGACAAAGCAAGCAATATCAGAATACAATCACAGAATCACCAGGGTTGGAAGGAACCTCAAGGATCATGAATCTCCAACCCCCCGCCACATGGAGGGCCACCAACCTCCCCATTTAATACTAGATCAGGCTGCCCAGGGCCTCCTCCAATCTGGCCTTGAACCTCTAGGGATGGGGCATCCACAACCTCTCCGGGCAGCTGGTTCCAGCACCGCACCATTCTCTCTGTAAAGAACTCCCTCATGACATCCAATCTAAATCTCCCCTCCCTCAATTTAAAACCATTTCCCCTTGTCCTGCTGACATCTACCCTTCCGAAGAGGTGACTCCCCTCCTGTTTGTAGGCCCTCTTTAGGTACTGAAAGGCTGCAATGAGGTCACCCTGCAGCCTTCTTTTCTCCAGGCTGAACAAGCCCGGCTCCCTCAGCCTGTCTTCATAGGGGAGGTGCTCCAGTCCCCAGATCATCTCTGTGGCTCCCTTCTGGACTCTCTCCTACAGCTCTCTGTCTTTTTTGTACTGTGGGCTCCAGACCTGGACACAGTTCTCCAGATGGGGCCTCACAAGAGCAGAGTAGAGGGGGACAATCACCTCCCTGTCCCTGCTGGCCACCCCTCTTCTGATGGAGCCCACCATACCATTTGCTTTCTGAGCTGCAAGAGCACACTGCTGGCTCATGTTAAGTTTTTCATCCATCAGGACCCCCAGGTCCTTCTCTGCAGGGCTGCTCTCAAGGACCGCTCCTTCCAGTCGATATAGATGCCTGGGATTCCTCCAGCCCTAGTGCAAAACTCTGCACTTTGCTGTGTTGAACCTCATTAGGTTCACCCGGGCCCACCTTTC